ATATCAAATTTGATCAACTTTGCTGATTTTTTAACTGTCTCAAAAATAGGGTCCTGTGGTTTGAGACACTGGGGACATGTGACTTTAAAGTGTCTCATAAATAGGGTCATGTAGGTTCCCCAAAAAAACCATAATTTAATTAATTTTTGACCAAAAAAACTATAAAAACAATATGAATATTGATTTAATGATCATCAAATTATCGTATAATGCGATTAAAAGTGTATTTTTTTCTTAAATGGATTAATTACTCGCAGGAATGTTCAACCTACCTTGAAAAGTGTCTCATAATAGGGACTTTTACCTTATCCGGGCCAACATCTATGCCTAGAATCCGTAAAAAGGATTCCCCCCCCCCCAAAAAAAAACATACATACATACATACATACATACATACATACATACATACGTCAATTATTATTCATTTTTAGAAGAATGCCTCGGGAATGTTTTAGTGATTGCGCATTGAAAGTTACAATGAATATTAGCTATAGAATAATCACAGAAATAAAAGGTACAGGCGAATCCGATGAAATTTGGAATCTGTACAAGCCAAAACGATATTCCTATTAAATTTCAAGTCTAGATCTATAAATATAATTCTATAAAGTGCCCAGCGGAGCAGGCGGGTAATAGCTAGTTATAATAATAACTATAAAAATAATAGTAATAATAACGCTTAAATAACGATAGCAATAAAAACATTTTCCAAATCAGAACAACATACATTTCTATACCCATCGTTAAACAATACATTAATTAAACGTAGTTCTTAATTTTTTTTTCAAAAAATAATAGAGCTTTTTGCAACTGAATCAATGATTTTGCTGGCAAAGTTATTTGATAAATAACTGTCTTTGAAAGTATGTATGTAGGACTCACAAATTTTGCAAATGAGCAAGATGCTATAAAAAATATTTTAATAGTCACGTCTAAAGCTTCAAGTGCGGTATTTACCTTCAATTTTGTGTTATCAATTATACCGTAAAAGTCGACAGGCTTGCAAACGGGTCCGACAAAAACCATAAATGGGTATAAAACGCTTTTTTATTAGTAATAAATGTCTGTCGCCGAGCCTTAAGGGGACCGGTGGTTTAGCAGCCTAAAATTTAAGCTATTTTAAAAAATTTTATTTCCATATAAAGGTAATGACAAATGCTTTTAAATTTTTTTTACACTTATTCTATTACTTATTAACTACACAAATGAAAATTAAAACAAAAAAAATAATTTTTTCTAAATTAGAAAAATGGCGCTGAAGTTCCCCTCTCCAAGAAAAAATGGACCTGACTGGTGCGTGTCGATTGATTTCTCCCTCTGATCTGAAATAAAAAAAAATGACGGATTTTTAATTAGTTTAAGTATAGTTATCGTCGGAATTAGAATGAAAAAAAAAATATTTGACAAAATGGCGCGTAGTTAAAACTACGAATCTGAAACTCGTTTTCAAAAAATGACATTAAAAAATAATTTTAAAAAATTTGATTTTGTTTTTTGGATAGTTAAAAATGTGTTCATAATTTTTTTTCAACTTATTTTTTGTTTTTTTTTTTTTTTTCATTAATTATAGGTATTAAGTGAAGAACGAGTGACGGGAAATGTAACTACTGAACTTCAGGCTAATGGTGACTCTCAAGGTCGTATTAGTTATGAGAATCGAGGTGAATGTTTTTTTCTGCCATATACCAAAGATGATGTCGAAGGGAATGTTACTTTGAGAGCTGGTGATAAAGTCTCCTTTCAGATTGCAACTAACCAACGGTATTTATTATATTCGTTCAGTTATATGATATAAGTATTGAAAACAGTACGAACTATGTATGATATTTCTTACAGAGGAAATTTAGGTGCTTGTCATGTTAGACTTGAGAATCCAGCACACCCAGTTCGTTATCGCGGTGTGATATGTACAATGAAAGAAAGTTTTGGATTCATTGAACGTGCAGATGTAGTCAAAGAAATATTTTTCCATTTTAGTGAGGCCAAATCATTAAAAGAAGAGTTAAAACTAGGAGATGACGTTGAGTTCATAATACAAACGCGTAATGTAATAATGTGTCACAATATAATAAGAAACTATATAAACATTAAAAAATTCTTCTATTTGCAACAGTCACTTTTTTTAAACAAACTATATATTTTTTTAGGGAAAAGAAGTTGCGTGTAATATTACTAAATTACCGCCAGGTTCTATCATCTTTGAAGAAATCAACAATGAAATTATTAAAGGTCAAGTATTAAAACCATTAGAGAGAGGAAATACAGCCCGTCATCAAAATGATCCACTACCGGGACGTATTCGCTACAGAGCTGCTGATTATTCTGAAGAAGAAATACCATTTGGTGATAAAGATCAAAAAGGCGATTTTACTCTTAAGTACAGCTTTAAAAAATTATAATTATATTTTTACAGTCTCTTCTGGTTCGAAGCAATTACTTAGAGGTGTAGGGGAATGATTTTCTAGTTTTCTTTTAAAATTATCTTTTAATTTGAATCATCCAAGCTCATTCCTGACCATTTGTGAACGAGATTAGGTGTAGATTATTATTTAGAATATCCAAGAACAATACACTCCTCTCAAAGTTTTGACTCTCGTTGGACAATAAATGAGAAAAAAAAATAAATTCTACATAATTTAAGATTTATCAACTTCGATTTTTAACTTCCCGCTAAGAAAATTGAAAATTTTCAAAAATCGGGAAGTTATTGGTTTTATCCCATTTTTCGAAAATCGAGTTTTCATCACATCTAACACTTCAGTTGTTTTTTTTCAAGCGATTGATGACACTAATCATGAAAAGACGTAAATCTATTTATATGCCACTATGAAAGAGTAAATGAAGCAAAATATTTCCAATTTGATGTAATGATTGACTTTAAAAGGATTACAATATTTAAAAATTTCTATTGACGTCGTCTAGAGGGCTAAGAGCTCTGCCGTAAATTTTCAAAATTATTTATAAGCTACTAGCTGACCCGGTGAACTTCGCATCACCGACAATATATTTTATTACACCTTTCGAACAGCGATTATCAATATTTAAACTCTAATCTACTTCGATAAAGAATAAATACTGGCTGCATGAAGTGCAGTTAGAATTTTGTCAAGTTATTAAATGAAACTCGCTTCTCATTATCGCCTGAAAATCAAGATCCCAAAAAATGAACACTGAATTTATGAAATTTTTTTTTGTCCATACATACAGAAGATAGACGATTAACAATTTTAGATCTGTTGATTTCCTTAGCTGAACTTTTGGGTTTTTCAAAAATTTTATTCTTTTGAAAACACCCCTGAACTATAGCGAACAAAAAAAGAAAAGTGTTGAAATCGGTCCAGTCGTTTTTGAGTTTTAGCGAGACTAACGCACAGCTATTCATTTATATATATATATTAGACTGGGCCAAAAAAAACGACTATTTTTTTTTTAACGGTACTGTGAAAATATCGTTCATGATGATGAAAAAAAATTTTTGTGAAAGTTTGAGCCCTTAATAATCATGTTAAGGGGTCTATCGTTACGAATATAAGTTTTTTAACAGCTACTGCATTATTTACGGAAAAGTCGTACATCATCTATTTTAAAAATTTTTCCATGCCATATCCTTGAAGGAAATTAAATTCCCTACAAAAAAGTTCTCTTAGTAAATTGACGTCGGACGAGTCGTTCCTTGTAATCGGGCCTTAAACATTAATTTATTTTTTCAATTTTTTAATTTTAATTCTGGATTTTGGTAACCACCATAAATATCAATTTTTTTCTAAAGCAAACAATTATTCTGTAGTAAAATTTCATGCTCTACAAAAAAGGTCTCTTATCATTTTTCATCAAATTAACTCCTTTCAAAGTTACTCGTCTTTGAAATCAAATTCAAAAGTAATTAACCGTTTATTTTGCGTTAGACATAATTAGGTTTTTTTGTTTGACAAATTTAAGACTTAAATACTAGAAATACCTTTTTCTTCTGTAGATCAATGAATTTTTTTCAAAAAATCAAAATTTATCGGGGTATTATCTTAATAAAACCATTGTTTATCAACTGATGGCAGATTTTATTAATCGTCTTAAAATGTTTTTATTAATTAAGATAATACCCCGATAAATTTTCATTTTTTGAAAAAAATTCATTGATCTGCAGAAGAAAAAAGTATTTCCACTATTTAAGTTTTAAATTTGTCGAACAAACGAAACCAATTATGTCTAACGCAAAATAAACGGTTAATTACTTTTGAATTTGATTTTAAAGACGAATAACTTTGAAAGGAGTTACTTTGATGAAAAATGATAAGAGACCTTTTTTGTAGAGCATGAAATTTTACTACAGAATAATTGTTTGCTTTAAAAAAAAATTAATATTTATGGTGGTTACCAAAATCCAGAATTAAAATTTAAAAATTGAAAAAATAAATTCATGTTTAAGGCTCGATTTCAAGGAAACGACTCGTCCTACGTCAATTTACTAAGAGAGCTTTTTTGTAGGGAATTAAATTTCCTTTAAGGATATGGCATGGAAAAATTTTTGAAATAGATGATGTACGACTTTTCCGTAAATAATGCAGTAGCTGTTAAAAAACTAATATTCGTAACGATAGACCCCTTAACAAGATTATTAAGGGCTCAAACTTTCACGAAAATTTTTTTTCATCATCATGAACGATATTTTCACAGTACCGTTAAAAAAAAAATAGTCGTTTTTTTTGGCCCAGTCTAATATATATAGATATAGATAGATGAGAAAGTTAAAAGATGATAATTATGATTAATTTCTTTAATCAATAAGATGCATGGTAATATAAAATTTGTTATCTTTGTAAAATGACTATTTATAATGGTGTCTGTTTACTTGTTTGAAATTGTACGTATATCTTTTCATCAACAAAATATCACTTTTAGTGTTTTAAAAAGTGCTCTGAATGCTGAAAGATACGTAAAAATCGTTGTCTATACAGATATAGGCCTTGAAACGATTTTTTAAATTGAATATTCATAATTTAAAAAAAAAAATATATCTTAAATTTTGAATTACCATCTATAACATATAAAATTAATAAGATTTTGAAATATTTACCCGAAAAATTTCTAAGATATTCGATCCTTGGTTTCCTAATAATTGGCAAATTTTTATCATAGCATCATCTTCCATTCTATGTTTTTCTTCAGGTGATACTCCACAATGAGGAGTTATATCACCGACGATACATTCCGCAAGATCATGCACCAATGCCATTTGCATAATTCTGAAAATGAAAAAATTAATATTATTTTTTTTTATATTACGCCAAAATACAATCAACATATCAACACACCCAAAGGAAAATGATACACCATTTAAAAAAAAAAAAAATATGACACCGTAATAGCAGATTACATACCAAGCGAAAAAACCCGCAGTAACATTTTAAGGATGTATGAGCGTGACAACAATTTTCGATTTAAGTCCCCAAAATTTTTTCGATGATAGATTTATACCAAAGAATTTGCTGTTAAAATTTCAGCATAGGTAACGGGGCCAATTTTTAAGAAAACAATTATTAAATATTGACATAAAATACATTGCTCTTATGGAGAAACGGGTAGTCTTGACGCTAACTCATCAAATATAAATATGTTAAAGAACTTTTCATATGAAAAAAAACTATAAATAAAAAAGATAATACTTATAGTAAGTCAATAAAATCATAAAAACACTATGCATCGGTGCATCCTAAAGTGAAAAATTAAAATGAAATTTAAATAAATTCAGTTTAATAATTTTTTCTCGCCATGACTTAACACTTGGCAACGTTTCACTTTTATTATGAGCGCCACAAGAAGCTGGTGTCGGAAATATTAAGCACGAATGTAAATATAACCTCACTTTGAGATTTAAAAATCAAAGTAACATGACACATTGACAAACGCAGTGACATTCATATTAATATTTACATTATTGGAGGTCCGTTGGTGGCGCTACTAAGCAACACGTGTAATTTTAGTGTTTTCACTTATGAATCAATTTTTATAATTTTTTGAGTTTATATTTAATTTAATAGCTAACGTTAAGACCCGCGCAAATTTTCGGGCTTTCTACCCAATAAAAAAGTGTGTTTATCAGTGACATAGTACCAGTGTTATGAATTTCTGTAACTCGGCTTTTCACTTTGGAGGTTAGGCTAGAACCCATATGAGCTCTGCCACTAGCATGTCTGAAGACTCCACTCCATTCCCAGCCAGTATTACATCCAACCCGGATAGTCCAGTCTCTTCTCAGACGCTATCTCCACAAGAAGGCATACTATTAACGGACAACCTAATCATTGACGAACAACACCCCGCTGGTTTAAATCTGAATTCGAGCACCTCAACCCCCAACAGCTCAACACAACAAGCAAAGCAATCCAAGCGAGGAAAAGACTCCTCCAAACCCAGAGGACGCCCTCGTAACGCTGATCGACTAGACAACTCACCTCCACCTGCTTCAACTTCCATACCAGAGCTGTTTAAAAAAGCCGCACTCAAGCGCCCTCGTTCGCCGCCGTTAAAATCTACCTATACGAAAAAAACTTCACCTCCGACCAAGTTAAGTCGCCCTTCCTCTGATCCTCCAACTCTCACCATGGAGACTGCAAACTCCTCTGATACTAGTGCTAAAGATGGCCAACCCCCTACCCCTCTGGTACCTCCAAAATTCCCCCTAGCAAATTTGTCAGAATCTCTCTCAACGACTCCATCAGCTCCATCAAGCTGGAACCCCCTGTCCTCCATCTTGTCTACCATGGAAAACTGGCGCTCGGAAGATAGAAAATACCTGGAAGACATGAAAACCGATCTGCTAAACAAATTTGAAGATTCTAAAGCTGCACAAGACGCCAAACTCGATGAAATCAAACTCTCTCTGTCACATGAAAGTGAGAAAATGCGAAAGGAACTTGAAAGTGTTAAAGCTCGACTAGTGATCCTAGAATCAAAGTCCAACTCCAATCACTCTGGCTCCACTCAAACCAGCTCTTCCTCCTCCTCATTATCCAACTTCGAAGACAGACTAGTACATGAGAGCATAAACAAAATAGAAAAACATCTAAGACGTAATAACATTATCATCCGTGGTTTAGCCAAAGATAACCTTGACGTTCTTGGACAAACGAATAATTACATCGCGGAAAACTTTAACCTCAAAAACTGTATAATTAGCGCTCAACGAATTGACAAACTTGGAGACAGAATAAAGGCGGAAGTCAACAACCCGACTAACAAAACACACATTATGAAGAGAAAGAAAGATCTGAAAAGTCAAATCTATATCAATGATGATCTTACTCCCCAGGAAGAACGTATAGCCAAGAAACTCAGGGACGAGGGCAAGAGACTCAGGTCAGAAGGAAAAAAAGTCAGGATAAGATCTGACAAATTAATAGTAGACGGAACCACATTCAAGCTAAACATTGCTGGAAACTCTCTC